CTCAAAGGTTCTCAAGAAAAATGTGCGCATAAGTATTGTTTTTTACACTTCCAATTTCGACACGGATTTTGGCTCAGTGGTTTAGTGGTGGCTCCAATCTGTTGAGTGAGGGTTCGGGTCCCACTACGGTCAAAGTTAAGAAGCGGTTACTTGGTGTTTGGGCTCACCAAGCTCCCCCCACCAGGTGTCACGTCCGCCGACCGTCTTTTGATCGTTTGTTTATTGATCAACAGATTTCAAGGTGATGTAACCATAAATGTTTTCACGTACTATTAGATTGTATATAAGAGTTGATACAGTATAGCATATATTGATAGCTAGGTAAAAAATTGAGAAGTCATTACGTCTATAAATAATAATATAGACAAACTTTCAACTGAGCCAAAGGAGCGTCAGGGACGTGTATGACACTAACTTGGTCATATAATATTACCATACGCCAGCTTCGTTGGGCACGACAAACAACCTAGAAAAGTATGTCGGCACCAAGGTTCTCAAGACATATTTCGACGTGTTGCCTCATGGTGGAACAATTCGAATTCAGCGATCATTACGCTTGCGACCAGAGCACTGTAGCCCTTCGAGCTGATGGTGATGTGCACGGCGCCCATGATCATTGCGAAGGATTATTGGCTTCAGCGTCTGACATGCTGGGATCCAGGGTACTGGATCCTAGCATACATTAGACTTCTGCTGCACCCCAATATGTTGTTGGCCCTGCTTCGCTCACAGGTCTGCATGCACTGATTTTAAATCTAGAAGGAGGTTCAATGAAAAGGATGACCTCGAGAATCTTCGGAGATTGACCACTTCTTCCCAGAAAATGCAGAAGTGTTGCAGCTCCAGCAAGCTGAAGGCCAATGAGTGCTTACAATTCGAAAGCTTGCGCTGAACTACTAAAATGATCCCATGCGTAGATGCAACTGGGGTCATGGCAAGACGTCAGCTTGTTGACCAACAACACCAATGGAACCAAGAAAAATGGGCTTATACTCATCGAACAGCTACTTGCAAAATATAGTCATTCTTGCATTCAAGAAACTAAACTTCGCGATTACCACGACCTTGATACTTGCCAATTCAGCCTTCAATCTCGCTTCAAACACAAGCTATTCGTCAGTGACCCTGGCGTGGTCAGTGCTTCACACACCGATCTGGCGGTGTGAGCACTGTGATTCGCCCTGATTTTCCATTTTTCAACAGCGAAGCTTCGAGAACTGACTGTGTTGGGGCGCTATCTGGTCGTTCAACTGGTGCTCCCGCGTATATCCACAACGTATACTCGCCAATGGACGATCATGACGAGGCCGTTTTCTTCGACTATCCTTCAGTGGGTTGCTTCGAAGACAAGGCAATATACATCGTCCTTGGCGAATTGAACGCGCCCCTCAACCTCAGTCTTGACCCTTCCAAACCACGCTTATGTGCTCGCCCAGGACGCAGCGCCTCCGCCTGTACGATTTGGTTAGGTCAATTGGGTGTGCTTGATGTCTAGCGCCTCCATCACCAAGATGAACGCATTTACGCTGGCCCCAGTCGCGCCAGAACCGACTTGACTACGCTTTGTTGTCGGATTACTTCTGCAACGCGCTGTACGACAACTCTAAATACTTTTAGCCTTAAGGCGCAGGTGACCACTTAGCACATGCAGTGACCCTATGCCCCATGTTTCAGACTTTTGTTTTTACTGATTTACCCCGATGTTGTGGATGCCATTCGTGGCAAATCCCAGCAAGTTATCAAATATCTCAATGCTGCCCCAAACCCTGGCAAGGTCTGGGAACAGTGGAAGAGGTTCATTAGAAGACAGATCTAGGGTCTACAACGTAAGCTACGAAACCAAAATGACGCTGTAATTAGGATTGCAATAGCTTCGCTAGATCAAGCAGCAACAAGATACCGCATCGAACGAGACATCATCTCCAAAGATGCATCTCATGCTGCACTAAACACATACCGCGACTGCGTGTCTCAGGCACATTGCTTTAATAAAGACCCGGCTTTTGACTTTCAAGTCCAGAATACCGAGACGTCTTCCAGTGTCCACTCAACCCATCACTCCGACAGGTTAGTCTTGAAAGAGCTCGAACCCCAGAGGGCAATATCTCCTGAATTCCAGCTGATATTTCAGCAAGTTTCCACGCCCATTGGGGTGTATCATGGGTGCTGACAGTTCTACAGAACCACCTCCAATTGTAAATCCTGACAGTCAACGAGAGCTGCTGAACACGATTGACAAGCGTCTAACATGAGAAGCCAAGCTTTGCTAAATGCCACGATTTCTAGAGTTGAGTCCACCGAGGCGCTCAAGTTAATCAAAGCCAACTCCGCGCCCGGCATGGAAGGCCTTACAGCTGGCTTCTACCGCGTCGCGCTTGAGGACTTTGGGAAATGCCTGAGTACGGTTTTCGACTACCAGCAGTCACGCGGTGAGCATCTCCCTTTTAAATGCAATCAGCTGTGTTCATATTACACAAGAAAGGCTCCAGCAAAATCCTGGCAATTTCCGACCAATCTCACTCATTGGTGCTGATGCTAAAGCCCTGTCCAAGGTCCTGACCTATCGCCTTCAAACCTTTCTTCCTCAGCTTATTAATGGCGATCAGAAGGCTTTCGTGAATGATCGGTCTATATATCATCACGTGCACTTAATGGCGTATCTGCAGGATCTCGTAATTGCTTGCAAAGATGAAGCCTATTCGACTTCGAGAAGGCATATGACCGGGTCAACTGGGACTGTATTTTCCAGGTGCTCGACCGTGTGGGCTGTGGTGGCGCTTTCACTGATTATGTGAAATTTCTCTATACGAATACCTCTTGCTCAACGGTCACATCCAATCGCCGATTTCTTCCACACGGGGAGTTAAACAAGGTGACTCGCTTCCGCGCTATCGCTGGGAAATTTGCTCCGGTGACATGAAGAGCACGGTGTTTGTATCACAAAGATCACACCACCATCAGCGTCTTCTTTGCCGACGATTTAACGCTGCCTCTAGCTCGCTATCCGGTATACAGGCACAGCTTGACCTGGTTTGGCCGTACTGTCACGGCTCTGGGGCGAAGCTTAATCTTGCCAAATGTGTGCTTCTGCCTCTAATTTCAAAAACCAACCCGCCCACCATCCCTGGCGTCAGAACGCTTCAGAGTGGGGAGACAGTCAAGTTGCTGGGCATTCTTTTTGGTCACTATTCAGTCGAAGACGCCGTCGTGGAGTTTTTAGACTTAATAATTACTGCACAACGTAATTGAACCACGCCAGGAATTGCAGTGTTGCCACTCGTGCTGCTACCATGGGACCCATGGAAATCACTCGATTTCCTCATTGATATCCCCAAGCGGTTTGGTGCTCTACTTCGATGGGACGTACTGTCCCAATGGTGGCGACGGGTTTGGAGGCTGTGGTATCGGGTCTTGTAGGGAGTTACATGGTGAGACCTCGCCCCTATCGCTCATTTTGCCCATGCGCTGAACTAGCCGATCTGGTTTCATGATGAAGCGGATATTCAGTTTGAAGTAACTCCGCGGATCGACAGTTCAGGGAGACTGCGGTGTTAATTGTGCATTGTTGAAGAACTCCGTCGGAGCTTCCGTCAACACATTGCAATGACCTTCAAGCTTCGATGTGTCACTGACTTTCTTGATGCGCTAAAGAATAACAGTCGGATGCTAATGCATTTGCAACAAGCACATTGACTACCGGTCCATGTCGGTTTCGGTGTACCTGCAGTATCGGCAGCTTGTTGCCTACACTTCAAAGCCACACAAGTTTTCAAGCGATTACGAGGCATGTGCGGCAATGCACCGCCCCCCCAGGAGTGGGATGAATGTGCCCCATGGCACCATATCTCGGTGTGCGTAGGGGCGAATGCATATGTGTTGTGCCCTGGATGCCTCGGTCTCAAAAAATCTTGCTTGTGTGGAAGGCAACGACACCCACCAAGCCCCATCCGATTCAGCTGCATGACGAGCGCACCAGGGTCTTGCAGCTTCGTGTCCGACAGATCTCGTCAATCAATTTCGAAGCCGAATCAATATTTATCATGACACTTCATCATGATATTTCATCATTGTATCATGCGTTGGTAGTTATGAGCTTGGACTTAAGTCCGAGGGTCACTCGCTACAAGCGTAACGTATTCGTACACTATACTGCGGTACGTACCCTGTTACCCTCACTCACCAAAATGTGTACTCACCAGCCAAAACCAAGCTGTCACTTCTTTCCGAGTTTTGGGCCGAGATCCGCTTGGTCGCTCATGTGTTCTGCTTGTGTAAATGTGTACATCTCGGTGCTCTCATCCGCAGCATTTCAAACGAATCTGCGATATCTTCCTGGTTACGTACCCGTATTTATCCAATCAATTCAAAAATTGCTTTCCTGACACGGTGGGATAATGAGCCGTCGCGTATGGCTCAGGTGTGATTGAAACAGCTCAACAGCAATCATACTTCAACAACACTTCAACCACTACACAGATTTTACTTGGTGGATTGTATATATATATACCAAGCATTCTACCAATTTTTTCGATTTCCTATACGTGTTGGAGGTGTCGGTGGCAAAAATGTCACGTCTGTGCAGCAAAAGTTTTGTATCAAGAGCTGCGGTATAAAAGCGTCTGTTTGATAATGAAAAATGCATTGTCAAATCTTGCAGCTGCAACCCAACAGAGATGTACAAAGACGCAGTATCTTTAAGAAGCACAAACGTACCGCTTTGGTTATCCTTTTTAGTGTCAGATCTTGTAATTATTTGTGGTACGGTGGCGCTGTCAGCCGAACTCTCTGTACGCGGAGCTGAGTTCAGCGCTAATCTTTGTATCTTAATATTTCGTTTCATTAATGTATCAACTTAAATATGATGTTTCATATACAATCAGTGTTGCAGGCAAAGGTGATCGCAATCAGTATCTTTTTTACCTTGTTACCTTTGATTTGCGTGCGAGCGATCGTTCTATTCTTTAATACTATTACCGGTACCCTCATCGCAAGCCGCACGAATATCCTGATCTGGTAACTTTGATGCCTCCGGTTGCTATTTTTGACAGACACGCGCCATATGTAAATGCGCGAAATCTTTTGAATCGATCAGTACTGACCACGGCTTCACAAAGCCCGGGACGGTGATATCGACAATTCACCAACCCGGCTGATAGCCTTATCTCTCTTGAAAAGAATCGCTCCTTTAGGGCTAACTTCCACTGACTACGACCTCTATGCGGCACGATAGTATCAAGTGCTTTCCCAGTAGGTATAGCATGGCCTACTTGGACTTCCGCGAGGGGTTCGCTGTTTGCCCTCGCGTTGACTCCCGGCCCTTCGTACCCTTCAGCGAGAGCGGAGGGGATACTTCAAGCGCAGAGATTATACACAACCGCACTTGAATCAGTGCATCGCGCAGTTTGTCAGCAGATAAGCAGTTTTCTCTTTCTATCAGCATGGCTGAGGTCCGTCGACGCTGGAGACCTAGATCCTCAGTTCCCATGCAGCTGCCGCGGCGTTAATATATTTCTTTTGAAAGAAATAGCCACACTCACCGCTTTCTCATACGTGGTAGGGTAACGCAAAAGGTCTTGGTGCGAAACGTACTCGTTTGGAGGCCATTCAAAAAGATGGTTATCGTCCGGCCTTCGAAAAAGGGTTAGCCACTATCGATCAGAGTTCTTTCTTAATCGACACCGTCCGCCAGCTCTCGGGTAAAAAAGGGTTCTGATCGTATCCAATACGCCTGGATAGGCAGTGGGAACGCCCGCAACATCAATTGCTTAGAATCAAACCACGTTAAGAACCATGTTGAAGTCGATAGAAAAGGCGAAGACTATGACGGCGTGAAAGTTTGTCCATTCCTGGATCTAGATTCGACAATTGATCTCATCCAAAGAATGACGTTGCTGGAGCTCCACTAGCCATTGATCGGCAGGAAGCTAAAAAGTGTGGTACCACATAGTGTCTTCCTGGTGAAGATCTGGCGATTTGTATACCCACATCTGCAAGAAAGCAAAAGGGCTTTTGGCTCGAGCACAAATCTGCGGTAGCTCCTTTACAAAACACGGGACTGCCCGACATCAAGGGCATTGGTATTGCTACGTGCCACTAGCAGAGCTCGGAATTCAAAAGCGGCAAGGAGGCGTGGTCTTAGGATGAAGCGGAAAGAGGGTTGTAAATCGCCATTTCCAGAGTGAGACTCTGTTTTATACGGGAGAAGCTATTGTTTTTCGCGGCTTTCAGAGTTTATATCTGGCGCAACGTTACTCGTGAATCCAGTATTTCGAGATTGTGTGGCAGAAAAATTTGGCGCAGCAATCAGTACCATCTTTCCGCTCGTTTTCTTTCAGTAGTATCACTATAATAGACTGAGTTGTTCCCGCCTGTTGCTGCTACACTCGAGTCACGCGCTCGCGAGATAATTTTTACGTTGAGGTTGACATCATTTTGCTCGTGAGTCCGTCCAAGTGCTTACGTTGTTTGCTGCTTCCAGCATACGAAGATTTGCAGGTCCGACTCGCCTTCCGTCTGCTGTGCGCTCACATATTTATTTCCTGTTCTTGCACACTGCACACCCAGGCATCATCTACTGCGTGCGCAGCGGGTGCAACGCGGTCGAGACGGAGCGGCATTTATTCTTTGACTGCGTCTTAGCAGCAGGACCATGGCCTGTGTTGTTTTGCGACTGGTCTGCATTCTTCGTCACCAAGCCAAAGTGGCTCGATATTTTTCTTGGTCGCCGACCATCGATTAAACACGTTTGACTGGATCATGACGCTGTGGTGGAGGAGCGATGGCAGATTACACGCTGCATAACGCTCCACCTCCTGTGGACAGTGTGCAATGATGGTCTGTTCCGTCAAAGTACACCACTGCCTATGGTGTCTGCGCTCCAGGTCGTGTATACCACGTTTAGTGCGCACATACGTGCATGTATGTGCAAGGTGTTCGATAGAGCGCAGCCACCGTCTCTACTGGTTGTGCTGTCTCAACTTCGACGGTCACACTCGTTGGGAGCATTTATGCGAGCCAACACAGCCCTTTTTGATGCGCGCCTGATACAGAAGTCATAGTTATACGTTTTCCCCGCTCCGGCATATTAGCATCCACGCTTGGGGCCTTTTTCCAAACAAACGCTAGAGTGTCCAAATCAAGGCACCTGCATTACTTTATATCTATTTTCACGTTATATAAGGTTTGAAGGGTGAAGAAACATGTATACATATCATGTTCAGAAAGTGATTAAATCTTGAAGTGGATCAAAGTGGAATGGAAATAGTGTCTGGCAGGTGATTTTTTTTGCGCCTCCACATATTATTTTTATTTTTCAATTTGCCGCCAACCCCCCCCCAAGTCAAGACGATCAAGCCGAAGTGGACAGCCTCGCCACTCAAAGCCAACGGATCAGCCCCCGATGCAGGACCTCCCTCGAAGAACCCACCAACCAAGGCTACGGGTCGGTACATTTGACTAGAAGGTCGTCGACTGTGTCTGAAAGGGTGATGGGCGGCCTAAGCCTGATATCCGGTCTGTACGTTGCGGTTGAAGGCTTTAGGGTCGACCCCCACCACAGGGAGAAAGTGACCAAGACAAATCCGAGTCTCCAGACAACCCCCGGCGCTGGGGCTTCCCCTAGGATCCCCAACCAAGACGACGGGTCGGGAATCTTGACTGGACGAGGAGACAAAATGCAAATCTGTTAAATATGCTTCTGTAGTCAATGCTTGCACTACCTTATTAGTTATGGTGACTGGCTCAAGTGGTTTGATATCCTGATGCTAAACGGCAAGTTGTGAGTTTAATTCCCACTAAAGATGGTTAGTGCGTGTTTAACCTTTATGGTTAAGACTGCATATGTCTGCATATTAAAGCGTGTACTTATTTTAGGTTCGCGCAAAGACTGAGTTAGAGTGTTCCACATACTTAGGGTGGGTTGGTAGCTTTAAACTTAGGCTTAGTATATTGTGTGGTCCGCAAGGCAGTTGCGCGTGGGCCCACACAATTGCGTCTAACATTAATACACTCACTT